GAACTGCTCCTCCCTGCACAGCAACATCAAATAACACCTCAAGGGAGTGGGGGTGGGGGTGGGCACTTCACAAAAACAAGCCTGCCAATCACTAAACAGACAAGCAAAGCACAAGCCTGGGGGGGGACAAGGTGGGGGGCGCGCGGTTACCAGTACCCAGAGTTGCTACAATATATTATCTAAAATGTCCCATTTCTTCTTTTTAAAAAAAATATATTTTCGCCCTGGCTGGTTTGGCTCAGTGGATAGAGTGTCGGCCTGCAGACCAAAGGGTCCCGGGGTCGATTCCGGTCATGGGCATGTATGTACCCTAGTTGTAGGCTCCTCCCTGGCCCAGGCCCTGGTCAGAGTGCGTGCAGGAGGCAACCAATTGCTGTGTTTCTCTCAGATCGATGTTGCTCTCTGTCTTTCCCTCTCTCTTCCACTCTCCCTAGAAATAGCCTCGCCCTAGCCGGTTTGGCTCAGTGGATAGAGCATCAGTCTTCGGACTGAAGGGTCCTGGGTTTGAGTCCAGTCAAGGGCACATGCCCAGGGTGGGGGCTCCATCCCCACCCAGTAGGGGGGGTGCAGGAGGCAGCCTATCAATGATTCTCTCTCGTCATTGCTGTGTCTATCTTTCTCTCCCTCTCCCTTCCTCTGTGCCCTGACCAGGAATAGAACTGTGACCTCTGGTTCATAGGTTGATGCTCAACCACTGAGCCACACTGGCCGGGCAATGCATTTTTTAAAAATTATGAGAACTGAGACTAAATGCCCATTCCTGACCACTGGCACGGGCTCCAGGAAGCTTTGGGGAGGACTTGCAATTGGCTAGATGAGAGCAGACAGGTGAGAACAGAAAGCTGGGGAAGGTCCTGACCGTTGGGGGCGCTGGGGTATTTCACAGGTTTCAGGTCTCTGACCAGGAACACTGCCCCCTGGAGACTATCCCATCTCACCGACTGTCACCACATGGGGGGGAGGGGGGGGCTCTGGGTCAAGAGCACAGGTGCCCAAACTGCCCCTCCTCCTGGTGGCACGGAAGCCCCCGCCAGGCCTCTCAGGTGCCCCCCCTGCGGCGGAGACCCCCAGCTTGGCCTCGTTTCCTAAAGGGAATGCAGTGCGATGCGGGTCCTGGCCGCCAAGGACAGTCGACAACTGAGTGGGCGCCCAGCCACAGCCCCTCCCCCAGCCCCTCCTGCAGGCTCTGCCCACAGTCAACCGGGCGCATCCCGGGTGGTCCTCCATCCACCCCGCTCTCAGCTGTCAGGTGAACCGGCTCATTACACCCAATTCCCCAAATTCTGGAAAGGCCCGAGGTGCCCCGCCCCAACTAGTCTTTCCTTTTATATATATTTGTATTGATTTCAGAGAGGAAGGAAGAGGGAGACAGAAACATCAATGATGGAGGGAGAGTCATGGACCGGCTGCCCCTGCACGCCCCACACTGGGGATGGAGCCCGCAACTGCCCTGATCGGGAATCAAACCGTGACCTGCTGTTCATGGGTCGGCGCTCAACCAGAGCCACGCTGGCCGGGCTACGCCGACTCTTCTTGAGCGCCCTTCCGAGGGGGGCCGCCCACCGGCCTCGGGAATTCGGGAGTCACGGGTGCCCCCCCCCTCCCAGGACGGAGGCAGGGAGAG